TTATCTTCTGTGTCTGTGTTAATTGGTTTCCCTTTTCTTTGTTGAAGAGGGTCTGTGCAATCCTTCTGCCTAGTCCGCCATCTTGCCCCGCCTCCAATTTTATCTCATTTTTAAAAGCTATATATTCAACTTGTTTTTCTTATTACATTATGTTAGCTAGGATTTTCAGAACAAAGTTACTTGATAATGGTGACCACTGATGTTCTTGTCCTGTTTCTTACTTTAATGGAAGTTTCTCTATTGTTTTACCATTGAGTATAAAATTGGCTATTGATTTAAAGAGTTTTTTTTTTTTTTAAATGTTAAGGAATTACTCCTGCGACCCCTCCTTGGGTTTCCAAGGCAATATCACTACAGAAGTAGATTGCCCAACCTTCTCTCCAGGGAGTGGCTGGTGGGTTTGAACTGCCAGACTTCTGGTTAGCAGTTAACTGCCTTAGGCACTATACCACCAGAGCTCCTAAGGAATTATTCCTGTAATTCTAGCTTATTAAGGTTTTTAAAAAAATGTTTTAATAATCACAAAACTATGTCATATTTAATAAGTTTTTTATCAATCATATTTATTTCTTCCCCTTTAACCTTTTAGTGAATGATATGAATATATTTCCTAATATTGAACCATAGTTCATTCCTTGAATTCAATCAAATATATAATTTAGCCTTAAAACACACTGTCATTTATATTTGTAGTAGTTTTGTCTTCCTAACTGTATTTCCTTTAGGTTCATATTGGTTTGCCCTTTGAGCACATCCTAACTGTGATTAGAAAAGAGCAGCCAGGTGCATGCTAGTTAGGAGGGGGAGCTGTGGCTAGGATTTGAAATTTTCTGTAGTTGATCCCACATGTAATGAAACTGAGAACCGGCCATACAGAATTTCAGTTCCTACATTACTTACCCATTTGGGCTTCTTTCCAGCTCATTTAAAAGTGTATGATCACAGTATTCAAAAACTAAATGCATTTTCCTTTTTCTCCTGAACACCTCAATGAGGTTCACAAGGTTTGGATGTTTTAATTGCTGCAAAGGAATGGAAATATGAAGTTTAGTGATCTGTTTCTAGTAATGGTTTCTCCTCAGATCTCTTACAATTTTAATAACTGAAGGTCTGTGTATCATTATCTATGCATCTCTTGTGGAGAATTTCATTACAGTTACTCACAAGAGAAATTACATTTAGTAAAAATCATAGACTCCTAAAGTGGGAAGAAATTTAAGAATTCATCTAATCTACCCAGAAGAGATGGTAACTAAACTACTTGGATGTCTCTGGTGATAACAAATGAAGTATGCAACTTAAAATGTAAGCACTAAAACCAAGAATACTTTAATCATTTTATGGAAACTCGAAATATGCAAGTCATAAAATAATCTGAATAAAAAGTTGAGGGAAATGGAATTATTTAAAAGATCAATAGCCAATCAGCTTACATATTGTCTTGGATTTAATGTAAATATTAGCTAGATTTAAACCTTGTAAGGACTCCACTCTAAGCTATGCTAGAACCCAACCTGCAGAGTTGATTAAGTTGCTTATTTAGTGAGTGCCCAGAGTTAGTTTGTGTTTTGAATATATTCATTATATTTCAGCTGTTCTTTCACTCTGTTGTTTTTTCTTATGCTTATATGTTTTGTGTGCTAAATTCTATTCTCAGACTAAAGCATTTTACAAAGAGCTTGGTAAAATAATATCAACCAGAGGAAAAATTGTGATTAAGTGGCATAGTGCCTAAGGCATTTGACTGCTAACCAGAAGGCTGGCGATTCAAACCCACCAGCCACTCCTTGAAAGGAACATTGGGCACTCTACTTTCATAGTGATACGGCCTCAGAAACCCAAGGAAGGGTCGCTGTAAGTCAGAACTGACTCGACAGTGGTGAGTTTGGTTTTGGTTTTTGGTAACTACATAATTTATCATCTACTTACACAATGGGTGTAACACAGGACTGTCCCAGGCAAACTGGCACACAGTTATTATAGTTCCTGCCTATAGCTAAGGAGACAATACAATGTAGCATACAAACCAGAACACTTTGAAAGGGGCTTCTAACCACATGGAACATTGGAACAACTGCCACAAACCAGGACATATGATCACTTCTACTAATAGTGTCCCTGTTCTTTTCCCAGTATTACATAGATAATCAACTTTCTGAATCCTATGCCATTTACCCAGAGAGACATATAAAGTGTTTTGTAAATGGTAGAAACTCAGTGGATATCTGCAGGATTAGCAGAGTCTCAGGTACAGGGACTACACAGCATGCCTCTACTTCAGTATCAAAGATCTCTTGTGGTAGAGTGGTTAAAGCATTCAGCTGCTAACCAAAGGGTCACTACGGATCCACCAGCCACTCCATGGGAGAAAGATGAGGCACTCTGCTTCTGTAAAGATTTACAGCCTTGGAAAATCTAAGAGGCAGTTCTAATCTTCCCCTTAGGGTCACTATGAGTAAGAACTGACTTGATGGCAGTGGGTTTGGTTTTTGGCTTACCTGAGTATCTGTCCAAAAGCGTATCGACATGCAACTATGTGCTTGCTACTCAACAGTTTGGGAAAAGAGACTACGTTACACATTAAAACAGAGCACCAAAACATTTTGCCTTCAATGTGCTCTACTACCTAATGAACACAAAGGCAAACAGTAGAGGAAACGAGTCACACTGGTAAGCCAGATGCTTTGCACTGCAGCAAAACCACAGTACACAAGCAAGTGGATCTGTACCCTGACCAAGGCAATAATGACTTCTTCACAGATGCTAGAGCTGCAGGCAACGGCAAGGTCAAACCTGTTCAAACCTCCTGTCTATGAAAGGGTCATCAATTATATCTTTGTTGCAAATGAAGTTAACTTATAGTGTAGGAAAAAAAACGGTGACTGGCCTAAAGTAAAATAGTACAGAGGAGGCGGCAAAGTAAATGTAAGGAGTATGTGAGATGCCTCAGATACATTTATCACAGAAAGAACATGTTCAGAGCATGCATGAGTGCAACTGACCAAAAGCAAGGAAGATGTACATTCTGACAGCCATCATCAGAGACTATGATGATCTGAAATCTAGCTACTTGCTATCTTAAAGCTTACTGTCACACTGGGGTGCTTGTGAGCCAGGAGGTAACCACTTGAGCATTGACTTTACTTGAAGGCTTTGGGGAGGGTGTAAACATATTATTTTCATTATAAAACAACCCGATGCTTGCTTGGGTTCAGACACACCCTGCGGCTTAGTTCAGTTTGTTGCCACAGCTGGCTGGCTGACTGGCATCCTCTGCTGGCGAAAAGATAATAGTAACCTACTTTTTACTGCAATGGATATATTCTTGAAAACTGTGTATATCATACCCACTGCCATCAAGTCACTACCAACTAATAGCAACTCTATAGGACACAGAACTGCCTCATAGGGTTTTCAAGGCTTCAATCTTATGGAAGCAGATTGTCACATCTTTTTTCTGTGTGAAACGGCTAGTGGACTCAAATTGCTGACCTTTTGGTTAGCAGCTAAATGTTTAACCACTGCACCATCAGAGCAGTACCATAATATATTTTAATTTTTTATTGTGAATTTTGTGAAAGTTTACAGAGAAAATTGGTTTTCCATTCAATTGTTGACACACGTTTTGTTTGGTGACACTGAATGTAGTCCCTACAATGTAACAGCACTCTTGCCACTTCCTCCCTATAGTTACCATTTCCATTTGTCCTCTTTCCTATCCATTCCTGCCTTCTGTGCTTTAACCCTGGGCAAATGCTGCCCTTTTGATCACATATGGTTGACTGTTCTAAGAAGTGTGTACCTCCCTTGTGTTACTGTTCACCCCATTGTGATAGTATACTTTAAACAGAACACTGATAATTGTTGCATAAAGAAACTTCTTCAAATAATATTTTGAAAAGGAGAGATAATAGTAAATTTTTATGTAAATCCTATTAGAGTAAAAACAATTCTAACAAAAACCTTCATGTAAAAAAATGTATATAACTAGAAGTAGTTCAATATATTTAAGAACCAAAAACCAAACCCACTGCCATCAAGTTGATTCCAACTCATAGTGACCCCATTGGATTTCCAAGGAGGTAAATCTTTATGGAAATAGATTGCCCCATCTTCCTTCTGTGGAGGGACTGGTGGGTTTGAACCACAAACCTTCTGGTTAGCAGTCAAATGCCTTAGCCACTGTGTCACCAGAACTACATCTTGATGCCTACTGGGGCACTAGAGCAGTCTTGTGGGCTCCAGCTGGCCCAGGAGATATTCTGGTTTGTGGGAAGATAGATCTGGAGGGGTGTGGATGAGAGGCCAGGGTTGGAGGGGGAGGGTAAGTCTGGGAGAAGGGTACTTAACACAATGGATATTTACCAGACAGAATGGAAGTACTTCAATATTTTAAATGAGTTCTACTCATTTGAATCAAGTAGCATCAAAGTAGTCACAGTCCAAAGTGATGAACAACTTATTTCCCAGAGTTGCTGATACAAAGGAATTTAAGTGCAATTTAAAAATTATATATTAAATTCCTTTGTAATTTTGACATATGTATTTCACCCAGTACCATGGTTATATGTACATACATGTAACGTTGACTTACCTTCAACATACGTATTTCTCTTAGAGCTATTTTCTTAACAACAGGATCATCTTCAGATTCCACAAATTTTTTAATAGCTACTACTTGTCCAGATGTTTTGTTTCTGCATTTGAATACAACACCATAAGACCCTTCTCCAATCTTAGCCAATTTTTCATACTTTTCCATTATATTTGAAGTGACCTAAATTACTGTGTTGACTGAGTTGCAGTATAATGTTGTACCTGGAAAATAAGATCGACTCACCTTAATCAAGTTATAAAGAACAATGTTTGCACAGTTTATTACATAAAACCATTTTTTCAAGAATGCCAAAGGTTTATTTCCATTCATTATATTAAAGTTCATTTAAACATATTTGGATGCTATTCTGTTTGGGTTTGTCCTATGCACCTCTTCTACCTATCACAGACTTAAATCTTATATTAAAATAAGATTTAAGTCTATGATAGGTTAAAATATAAATCTTATATTAGTTCTAGCAATGGATCTGTGTTTATCTCAGTGAACTAAAAGAATATGTGGAAAGGAACTTTATCCAGTCTATTGTTTTCATTATCCTCAAGTAAATGATTAAAATATGATGCTATAAAAATCAAGCTGAAGGAATAGATCTTCCTCTTGAATATGGCTTTATCTTTTCCTAACCTTTTTTTTTGTTCTTTTGAACTAGGCAGTTTGTCTTTATTTATTTATTTAACTATGATTTGGGTGAAAGTTTACAGAGCAAACTGGTTTTCCATTCAATAATTCAACACATTTTGTGACATTCTCTGTAATTCCCACAATGTAACAGCACTCTTCTCACTTCCTCTGTGTTTACCATTTCCCTTCATACTTCTTTGCTGTTCCTTCCTGCCTTCTGAGTTTTATCCCTGGGCAAATGCTGACCTTTTCATCTCCTATGGTTAACTGTTCTAATAAGTGTGTACCTCTTTGGTATTACTGTTCATATCATAGGCTTGTCTATTGTTTGGCTAAAGTTGAGCCATGGGGATGAGTTCAGTTCTAGGCTGAAGGGTGTCTAAAGGCCACAGTCTAGGGATTCCTCCAGTCTCTATTAGACTAGTAAGCCTGATCATTTTTATGATTTTGAATTCTGTTCCACATTTTTCTCCCACTCCATCCAGGACCTTTTATTGTGATCATTTCACAGCAATAAGCAGTGGTAACTGGGTACCATCTACTTTTTCTGGTCTCAAGTTTGTGCATAGTGCCTAAGGCAGTTGACTGCTAACCAGAAGGCTGGTAGTTCAAACCCACCAGCCACTCCTCGGAAGGAAGATGGGGCAATCTACTTCCGTAGTGATACTGCCTCAGAAACCCAAGGAGGCATCGCTATGAGTCGGGTCTGACTTGACGGCACATAACAACATCACCACAACAGTTCACAGGGTCCATTAGTCCTTTGGACTAATTGCTTCCCTGCATCTTTGATTTTCTTTACTCTTCTTTGCTCCAGACAAGGAGAGACCAATAGTTGCACCTTAGATGGTGGTTGGTAAGCTTTTACAACCCCAGTCACTACTCACCAAAGTAGGATGTAGAACAATGCCTTTGTGGACTATGTTATGCTAATTGAACTTAGTGTTCCTATAGTCCTGAGACCCACTCCTCACCAAATCTAACTTTTGAATATTGCAGTGACTACAAGAGTTGTGTAAGAATTGATACGAAGTGCTATACTTCCACCTGGAAAGAAAGAGAAAATGTGGCCCCCTGCACAAAGCAGTCATTTTTTTTAATGACAATAATAACAAAATTCTTTCAGAGCATTATTTATTGTGCTTAGCTTTTATTTTTATGGAGGAACATATCCTTAAATTCTTACCTCCTCCCCACCCCCACCAAAAAAAATGATAAAGCACAAAAAAGAAGGGTGATTTCTCTACTCAATGAATACTTTCATACCCACAGTGTTTTCTGTGGAAACTGGTGGTGGCTGTTAGCTGCCCACGAGTTAATTCCCACTCATGGTGACCCTAGGTGTGCAGAGTAGAAATTCTCCACAGGGTTTTCAAGGCTGTGACCTTGTGGAAGCAGATCACCAGGCCCATCTTCCTAGGTACCTCTGGGTGGATTTGAACAGCCAGCCTTTTGGATAGTAGCTCAGTTGAGTGCTTAGCCATATACATTCTAATTGCATAAAAATATGCGGTTGAGAGAACTTATTACCTGGGTAAATGACCACTAACATACTTTTTTTTTTTTTTTTTTAATGCATTCTATTCCTCTCCTATAGAAAACTCTAACATACATACTTAAGTAATATATGGAAAATTCACCACAAATTATATTCTGAAAGCCCTAGTAATGACACTGTATTTTTCACTAAGTATTATTTTCTCAAGAGTATTTAGATACAGGCATGTATATATTTGCCTTTCTTTTGCTTAGTAGTAATAGGTGACTGGAACAGAACTGAAGAACAGGAAAAACTAGGAATTTGCTTTAAAAAATTATTGGTACAAAATTTTGTAGATTCTTAAATTTAACCTATTTGACTGCTTACCAGAAGGGTGGTGGTTCAAACCTACCAGCCACTCCTTGGAAGGAAGATTGGGCAATCTACTTCTGTAGAGTTACTGCCTTAGAAACCCAAGAAGGGGTCACTGTGAGTTGGAATCAACTCGATGGCAGCAAGTTTGTTTGTTTGTTTGTTTGTTTTTTGGTATAGTTACTGAGACAAAGTACATATATGCCTGAAAGCTTAATCATGAAGTTTTAGTCTAGGTGTTATTTTCATCTTCCCCTCTAGGTAGGTGATCTGATTTATTAATCTACGACTTTCCTTTTTTAACAGATTGTATAATGACTGGTTCATCAGACTATGATTTAGATCTCTTGGTTAACATCAAACAAACTGTTGATTACAATAAAATAAGTTTCCAGAAAACAATATTTTTTTGGTTGTTGTAAATACTATTGAGTTGATTTTGTCTCATAGTGACTCCATGTGACAAAGTAGAATTGCCCCACAGGCTGTGATCTTTATGGGAGCAGATTGTCAGGTCTTTTGGTTTGCAGCTGAGCCCTAAACTGTTGTGTCATCAGTGCTTCTTCTTTATCTGGTAATGTCTCAATATTATCTGCTTTCTAAAACCCTTCTATGTTCATGGAAGGTAAGTTTGCACCCACAGGCAGGAGTGAAATCAACATGGGAATTCCACAAAGGAATCTGTGAATCTACTTCCAGCTTACTAGGACTCTCCCAGCCTTATTAGAAGTAGTAATTCCTAATCTCTTACTTGAGGTACAGATCAATGATCCAACTACTTGATGAACATCTCTACATGAATGGGCTATGTATCCAAAATTGGTATGTTCTACACCAAATGCCTTATATTCTTTCTTTCTTTAGACTTTACTCCTATCTAAAATTCATAAACCTGCTCAACATTACACCCAATAGTTTGTCAAGAAACATAAGGTGGAAGATACGTTGGGTAGGTTACTGCTTTCTGCCTGTGGACTCCGCAGGGGAAGCATCGTTAAAGTCTTTTTATTTTTTTCTGCCCACTGCCGTCATGTCTAAGTCAGAGTCTCCTACAGAACCCGAACAGCTGTGAAAACTCTTCATTGGAGGGTTAAGCTTTGAAACAACAGATGAGAGTCTGAGAAGCCATTTTGAACAATGGGGAACGCTCACAGACTGTGTGGTAATGAGAGATCCAAACACCAAGCGTTCCAGAAGCTTTGGATTTGTCACTCTACGGTGGAGGACGTGGATGGAGCCATGAATGCAAGACCACACAAGGTAGATGGAAGAGTTGTGGAACCAAAGAGAGCTGTCTCACGGGAAGACTCTCAAAGACCAGGTGCCCACTTAACTGAAAAAAATCTTTGTTGGTGGCATTAAAGAAGACACTGAAGAACATCACCTAAGAGATTATTTTGAACAATATGGGAAAATTGAAGTGATTGAAATCATGACCGACTGAGGCAGTGGCAAGAAGAGGGGCTTTGCTTTTGTAACTTTTGATGACCATGACTCTGTAGATAAAATTGTCATTCAAAAACACCATACTGTGAATGGCCATAACTGTGAAGTAAGGAAAGCCCTCTCAAAGCAAGAGATGGCCAGTGCCTCTTCTAGCCAAAGAGGTCGAAGTGGTTCTGGAAACTTTGGTGGTGGCCGTGGAGGTGGTTTTGGTGGGAATGACAACTTTGGTCGTGGAGGAAACTTCAGTGGGCATGGTGGCTTCGGTGGCAGCTGTGGTGGTGGTGGATATGGAGGCAGTGGGGATGGTTATAATGGATTGGGTAATGATGGAAGCAATTTTGGAGGTGACAGAAGCTACAATGATTTTGGCAGTTACAACAATCAGTCTTTAAATTTTGGACCCATGAAGGGAGAAAACTTTGGAGGCAGAAGCTCTGGCCCTTATGGTGGTGGAGGTCAATACTGTGCCAAACCATGAAACCAAGGTGGCTATGGTGGTTCAAGCAGCAGCAGTAGCTATGGCAGTGGCAGAAGGTTTTAACGATTGCCAGGAAACAAAGCTTAGCAGGAGAGGAGAGCCAGAGAAGTGACAGGGAAGCTACAGGTTACAACAGATTTGTGAACTCAGCCAAGCACAGTGGTGGCAGGGCCTAGCTGCTACAAAGAAGACATGTTTTAGACAAATACTCATGTGTATGGGCAAAAAAAAAAACAAAACTCGAGGACTATGTTTGTGACTAATTGTATAACAAGTTATTTTAGTTTCTGTTTTGGGGAAAGTGTAAAGCATTCCAACCAAGGGTTTTAATGTAGATTTTTTTTTCACGCATGCTGTTGATTGCTTAAATAGTCTGATCATGAAGCTGAATAAATGTCTTTTTTAAAAATGTGCTGTGTAAAGTTAGTCTACTCTAAACTGCCCCAATAGTGTGAAGTTTAGAATTCCTTCAGGGTGATGCCAGGTTCCACTCAAAATTTATTTAAAACCTTAGAAGACTGCTTGGGGGCACAGAAGCCGTTGTCTTCAGAAACCTTGGTGTAGTTGAACTGACAGTTACTGTGTTGTGACAGAGTTCACCATTAAAATGGTTACCCAAGCAAAGTTACAGAATTTATTTGGTTATAAAAATGATTGTTGGAACATCCTATGCAATATATCTAAACTGAATAATGCTACCAGATAAAATTATAGATGGGATTGAAGCTTATGTATCCATTATCATGT